TTTCTTTTCTTTTCTTTCCATCCCTGTTTTTCTCTCTGTATGTTTCTCTCTCTGTGTGTGTATCTCCCTTCATCTCTTTCTCTCATCTCACTGTCTCTCTCTGTGGGTCTCTTTCTCTCATCTCTCTTATTCTTCTTCTCCTCCTCCTCCTCCTTCTTTTTCTTCCTCCTCCTCCTTCTTTTTCCTCTCTCTCTCTCTCTTTCTCCCTCCCCCTCCCTCCTCCTCTCCCTCTCCCTTTCTCTCTCCCTCCCCCTCTCCCTCTCCCCCATCTCATCTCTTTCTCTCATCTCTCTGTCTCTTTCAGATCTCCTGGGAAGAAGACCACCTATCTCCACATGCCCAGGAACCTGAATACCTTACTGTGGAAGAAACAGGATAACATGCAGATGGACAGAGGTAGCACCAACGTCACTTCTGAAAATCTCCCTTCTACCTGTGGCCTGACACTCATAATGATGCTGTTTGTGAAACGATGCTAAATGGACTTGTCATGTCGTCAAAACACCAACACCACCGGACAGAGACAGAGACAGGGGGTGGGGGATTGCTACTAAGGTGATGTGTGGTCACTTTTACCTCAGGACAAGCCCCATGTATGATGGAAACCTTATTCTGTCCTAAACATTCTTATCATCTTGATATGAATGAGCCTATTTTTATAGTCACTGTGTCTGTTCACTTCCTTGAGAGTCTATCTATCTATCTATCTATCTATCTATCTATCTATCATCTATCTTATCTATCATCTAGCTAGCTAGCTAGCCATATCATTTCCCTCCTATATCTATCTATCTATCTATCTATCTATCTATCTATCTATCTAATCTATTTTATATCTATCCACCCATCCACTCATCATCTATCTATCTATCTATCTATCTATCTATCTATCTATCTATCTATCTATCCCTCCTTCATAGCTATCTATTGTCTACCTGTCTATCTATTATCTATCTGTTGTTGTTGTTGTTAAGTGCCATTGAGTTGTAGACAACTCATAGGAAACCTATGAACGAAAGACCTGAACACTTGTACAACTTTCCTCACTTCTCCACGTTCATAGAGTTCCTGGAGGCAAGCTCTTTAGGAAGTGGATGCCACTCCTGCTTCCAAGCTTGTTTCAATCAGGGAGCTCCACCAAACACTGTCCACCATGGGTGACCATGATCGCATTTGACACATCTGTGTCACAGTGTTCAGCATCACAGCTATCACGAGTTACGTTTGTACAGCAAGTGGACAGACCAGGGCTAGACCTCTTAGAAGAATGTCCAAAAACAATTAAAACCAGGCCTGAAGACCTAGGGTTAAAATCACCCACCTTTGGCTTGGGAGCATCACTTTCTATCCACTAGACCAACGGAGCTCGCTCTATGCTGTTGTTTTTGTTAACAACAACAACATTATCTATCTATCATATATATCTATCCACCTATCCACCCATCAATCATTCATCCATCTATCTGTCTGCCATACTTTCCCTCCTATCTTTCTGTCTGTCTACCTGTCTATCTATTATCTATCATATATATACATGATCCATAAGATATATATGATATCCATATGATATATATATATCCACCCCATCCACCCATGACTCATCCATCCGTCTTTCTTTCTATATCTATCTCTATCTCTCTGTCTATCTATCTATCTATCAACCATCTATATCTAGATCGATCGATCTATATCAATCATCTATATATATATCTTATCTATCTATCTAATCTGTCAACCCATCAATTAATGTTGTTGTTAGGTTATCATCAAGTCCACTACTTCAACGTCCACCAGTCTCCAGCTCATGGCTGCAGCCACTGTGTCGCTCCACCTGGTCCTCCTCTCTTTCTCTGCCCTTCCACCTTCCCCAGCCATGGTTTTTTCAGCCACTTCTTCTGCGTGCAAAAGATTGGACAATGACTAAGAAGGACAGGAAACTCGATGCCTTTCAGCTGTGGTGTTGGAGAGGAGTACTAAATATCCCATGAACTGTCAAATGAATAAATAAATCTGTCTTGGGGCATGTGGTCAGCAGGGGCGAGTCCTTGGAGGACATCTTTCTGGGGAAGGTAGAGAGGGTCAGAGACAGAGAGGAAGACCTCCACAGAATGGGTGGACACCGACAACAGCCATGGCCTGGAGCCTGTCAGAGAGGGTGAGAGCAGAACAGGACATGGCAGTGCTCAGATCCATTGTCTGCAGGGTGGATTTGAACCACCAACCAACCTCTCGGTTATCAGCCAGGGCTGAACTAAGTGGCATCCTGGCTATGGTGAGGGCTGACACCTGGCCGCGTGGTGAGGAAGAAGGGCGAGGAAACACCAGCTTGAAGAAAGGAAGCAGCTGTTTGCAAAGGGCTTGCATTTCAGCTCCAAGAAATGGGGGTGGGAGTTCTCGGTGGGGTAGGAGAGGAGGAGGGGAGGGAAAAGAGAGGGGACCTTCTAGAACACCCTACATCCTGAGGTGTCCAGCTGGCCCATGGCTTCACTTGGGCTGGGGAGCCCCCTGAATTAATAACACTTTCCCAAGTTCAAGAGCCCTCATTTTTTGGGGGGTTCCCTGAATATCCCATCCCCCTGAGGTATCCGGCTGGCCAAGGGCTCTTCTTGGTGCAGGGCATTTAAATAGATGAGACAACATTCGTCGAAGCTCTGGAGTCCTCCTAATCTTGGGGTTCTCTGAACACCCACACCCCGAGACATCCGGCTGGCCGGGGGGGGCTGTTCTTGATCTAGGGCTTCTAACATTCCTCGAAGCTCTGGTACCCTCCTATTCTTGGGGCCCCACCGGACACTCTTGTGTTGTAATCCAAAACCTGCAGATAGATTCATCTGACGCCTCTGATAAGGAGAAGGGGTTCAGATTATGGGCGGAGCCACGCACCACAGGGTTGTGCAAACTTCCCTCTGAAAGTGACACGAGGTATTTGGCTCCAGGAATGCCACCCCCTCTGGCCTCGAGGTCAGCTCAGACCAGGCACTTTCTGGTTGACCCTTAAGCCCAAGCCACAGATATCCAGTGAACTCAGACCTGCCCCATGGGGGTCTCCGAGGCTGTGAATCTTTCCAGAAGCAGACGACCTCAGCTTTCTCCTTTGGAGTGGCTGGTGGATTCAAACCCCTGACCTTGTGGTGACAGCTGAGTGTGTCCCCCCTGTGCCAGCAGGGCTCCTGAGAGTCTAGATACAGAGTATCTCTCTAGTAGCCTCTCCTGAGTGTCTAGATACATAGTATCTCTCTAGTAGCCTCTCCTGAGAGTCTAGATACATAGTATCTCTCTAGCAGCCTCTGTGTGTCACTGTGCACACACAGTGTGGAGGGAAGGCAGGTCTCTCCTAGAGTGGACCAGGCGTGAGATACAGTGTCACCAGCTGGGATTCATTTGTCTGACTCCCAGTGTCCCTGCAGGACAGAGCAGAGCTGCCCCATGGGGTCAGTGAGGCTGTGAATCTCTACAGAAGCAGAGGGCCTCCGCGTTCCCCTTCAAAACAGATGGTGGGTCTGAACTAGTGGCCTTTCCAGTAACAGGCATGAACTCTCACTCCTCCAAGTGCACACCAAGGCGGTCCTTGTGGACTCCGAAGTCACACGGGGTGTGAGCAGGAAGAGGAAATCTTTCCAAATCCCACTGGGCAGGAAGGGCTCCATCCTGGAGGGGCCTCCACGGTCACTTACAGGAAGGGGCCAGGGCTGATTCTCTCTGTGTTCTCAGAGGACGGGAGGCAGAGGGGGTCCTCAGGGGCCAGGTGAGGAGACCTTGGCACTAGGAGCAGTGGGGGTGGGTGACAGCACCTCCTGTTCAGCCATCCATCTCTACCCCTTTCACTCGTGGACCGCCAGAGCAGGAAATTACCCAACTCTCTTTGTAGCGTAAGCACAAATTATAACTATCGCAAAAAGGAACCCAAGAAATGAGAAAAGGAAAGCAGTATAATCAAAGATAAAAAGAGAAGGCGGGGCTGGGGTGGGACAACATACACTGGGGAGGGGGGGGATTTGAAAAAATAAGAAAAGATTGCTTGTTCCAGGAAATTCATACGTATGCCCCTCTGGCAAGTCATGACCCTCCCAAAACAACACAACACAGAGAGTGAAGTTGATACGAGCAGAGACGGGTTCTCATTGGCTGGGGGCTTCAAGGGTGGGTCTTTGACAGAAGTTATAAGAAAGTGTGGAGGAGAACAGGATTTCACTTCTCATTGAGACCAGCTGCAGGGAGGGGCCTGTGGGGGACCCGCTGACTGGCCTGACCGACGTTGTTGGTCTGTTTGCTCCCTTGAGATTTACTTTGACCATCTACCCCAGGTAAGGAGTGTGTGTGTGTGTGTGTGTGTGTGTGTGTGTGTGTGTG